AAAGAGACACAGATATACATATAGAACAGACTTTTGGGCTCTGTGGGAGAAGGCGAGGGTGGGATGATCTGAGAGAATAGCATTGAAACATGTATATTATCAACTGTGAAATAGATCGCCAGTCCAGGTTTGATGCATCAGACAAGTGCTCAGGGCTGGTGCACTAGGATGACCCAGAGGGATGGGGAACACACGTAAATCCATGGCTGACTTATATCAATGTATGGCAAAAACCATTACAATTTTGTAAACTAATTAGCCTTCAACTAATATAAATAATTGAAAAAAAATTATATGGAACCACACAAAGACCCATAATTGCCAAAGTAATCCTGAGGTAAAAAAGAAGAAAGCTTGAGACATAACCTCCCAGCCTACAGACAATACTACAAAGTTAACAGCAAACAAAACAGTGTGGTAAAGACATAAAGATCAATGGAACAAAAGCAAACTCAGAAATAAACCCACATACTTATGGTCAATTAATCTTCAACAAAGGAGGCAAGAAAATAAAACAGAGAAAAGAAAGTTGTGTTGGGAAGGCCGAATAGATATATGTAAATAAATGAACTTAGAACACACCCTCAAACTGCAAACAGTAATAAACTCAAAATGACTTAAGGACTTAATTATAACACATGACACCATAAAACCCCTAGAAGATAAAACAGCAGAACACTATGACATAAATTGTACCAATATTTTTTGGATATGTCTCTTAAGGCAAAAGAAATAAAAGCAAAAATATACAAATGGGACCTAATTAAACATAAGCTTTTACACCAAAAGAAACAAAAGGACAACCTATAGACTGAGAGAAAGTATTTGCAAATGATGTAACAGACAAGGAAATAATTTCTAAAATATACAAATAGGTCATATAGATCAATAACCAAAAAACAAACAACCCAATCAAAAATGAACAGACCTAAATTTAACATTTCTCCAAAAAAGACATACAGATGGCCAAAAGACACATGAAATGATGCTCAATATTGCTTATTATCTGAAAAATGCAAATCAAAACTACAATGAGGTATCACTTCACACCAGTCAGTATGGCCATCTTCAAAAGTCCATAAATAAGAAGTGCTAGAGAGAGTATGGAGAAAAGGGAATCCTCATACACTATTGGTGGGAAAGTAAATTCATGCAGCTACTTAAAAAATAGTAAGGAAGTTGCTCAAAACACTTTTATAAAGAGAGTTGCCATATGATCCCACTCCTGGGCATATATACAAAGAAAACTCTAATTTGAAAAGACACACGCACCCCTATGTTCATAGAATTGCTATTTACAATAGCCAAGACATGGAAGCAACCTACGTGTTCATCAACAGATGAATGGATAAAGAAGACACAGTGTATATGAAATATTTCTCAGAAATAATAAAGAAATAAAAGACTGCAATTTGCAACAAGAATGAACCCAGAGATTATCATACTAAGTGAAGTCAGACACAGAAAGACAAATATCACATTATATCACTTACATGTGGAATTTAAAAAATATGACACAGACAAACTCATTTACAAAACAGACTCACAGACACAGAAAACAAACTTATGGCTACCAAAGGGGAAAGGGACAAACTAGGAGTTTCCGATGAACAGAAACACACTACTGTACATAAAACAGAAAAACAACCAGGACTTACTTATAGCAGAGGGAACTATATTTAATATCTTAGAATAACTTATAGTGAAATAGAATCTAATAAAGAATAACATATATATACAAAAACTGAATCACCTTGCTATATGCCAGTAACTATCACAATGTTGCAAAACAACTCTACCTTTAAGGAAAAAAAGCTGAAGAATAAAAATCATATGATCAACTCAATAGATACAGAACAAGTTTGGGGGAAATTTAATATCCCTTTATAATAAAAACTCTCCACAAAGTGGGTATAGAGGTAACATACCTCATCATAATAAAGGCCATATATGATAAACCCACAGCTAGCATCCTACTATACAGGGGAAAACTGAAAGCATTTCCTCTGAGATCAGGGATAAGACAAGGATGCCCAATCTTGTCCTTTTTTTTTCAGTATAACATTGAAAGTCCCAGCCACAGCAATAAGATAAGAAAAAGAAGCAAACAGAACCCAAATTGAAAAGAAAGCAGTAAAATGGTCACTTGGAGATGACATGATAATAAACATTGAAATATTAAAGGCAGTACCAAAAAAACTACTATAACTCATCGATGAATTCAGTCGAGTTTCAGGATACAAAGCTAGTATACAGAAATTTGTCACATTTCTACACATTAAGAATAAACTATCAGAAAGAGAAATGAAGAAAACAACTCCATGTACCATTCATCAAAAAGAATACCTAGGAATAACTCTAATTAAGAAGGTCAAGGACTTGTATTAGAAAACTCCAAGACACTGATGAAGGAAACTGAAAATGAAAATGAAACTGTTAGTCATTCAGTCATGTCCAACCCTTTGCAACCCCATGACCTGTAACCCACCAGGCTCCTCTGTCCATGGAATTCTGCAGGCAAGAATACTGGAGTGGGTTGCCATTCCCTTCTCCAGGGGGTCTTCCCATATGAGGGATCAAAACCCAAGTCTCCTGCATTGCTTGTGGATTCTTTACTGCCTGAACCATGAGGACAAAAAAGATGACAAGGTATACTCTGTCCATGGATTAGAAAAATTAACATCATAAAAATGATCTTGACAATGTATAGATTAAATGCAATCCCTATCAAAATACCAGTGGTGTTTTTCATAGGTGTAGAAAAAAATTCTTAAGTGTGTATGGAAATACAAAAGATCTCAAACAGACAAAGCAATCTTGAGAAAAACATTAGAGCTTGAGGTATCATGCTTGCTTCAGATTATATTACAAAGCTACAATCATCAATACAGTATGGTATTGGCACAAAAACAGATACATAGATCAATGGATCAGAATAGAGAGCCTGGAGTAAACCCATGAATTTCCTGTCTATTAATCTACAACAAAGCTGGGAAGAATATACAAAGGGGAAAATTCTCTTCAATAACAGGTGCTAGGAATAGTGGATGGCTAGATGTAAAAGAATAAAATTAGAATATTTTCTCACAGCATATAGAAAAACAACATTAAAATGGATTAAAGGCCTAAATATTAGACTAGAATTGACAAAATTTCTAGAAGAAAACATAAGCAGAACACTATAAAGAAGACATGGCACATATATACACAATAGATTACAACTCAGTCATAAAAAAGAAATTTTGCTCTTTTCAATCAAATGGATAGACCTGGAGGGCATTATGTTTAGTGAAATAAGTCAGAAAAAGAAAGTACTGCATGATATCACTTATACATGAAATCTTAAAAAAATAAAATAAAACCAACAAGTACATAAAATAAAACAAATAGACCCACAGATATAGAGAACAAATTAGTGGTTCCTGGTAGGGAGATGTAAGGGAGAGGGGCAAGACAGGGGTAGGGAATTGGAAGACACAAACTACTAGGTATAAAATAAATAAGATACAGTGTGCTACTTATAGCACTGAGAATATAACCAATATTTTATAATAACTTTAAATGGAGTAAAGTTGGAAAAAGTCTAAACCACTATGTCACACACCTTAAAGCAATGTATATTGTAAATCAATTATACCCTAATTTAAAAAAAAAAATGAAAAGTGAAATAAAAGGCATGACTGTGCTAAAAATAAATAAATAAATAAATAAAACCAAAATACCTCACCAAAACTATATCAAATCTTTAATTTCTGGATTCCAAGTATGGCAAGATAAACCCACCAAATAGTATTGCTTTCCTTCTTAAAAAAGAAAAAGTTTGCTTCAAATGCTGATATTTAAGAAACCAAAACTGGCTCTTCCTGGAGACTAACTTCTTATATAGTTTTCTCAGCCAAGGCACAGTTGGTCCTTAGGATCCTGGAAAGGAATTTAATGACCTGATTTCCTTATCAAGGATGGCTTTTATCACCCTGCCATGCCGGGCCCAGCTCCAGGAAGGGTTAAAGGAGAACACTGATAGTTGAAGGCCCTCTTAGTGAGTCCCTGCTTTCATGGACCCCAGAGTGTGAGTGAAAGGTGGGTCACAGAACATAACCAAGGCAGAGAGCAAAAACAACCAGAGTGTCACAGGTGCCACCACAGGCACCTGTGGAAATGTGTGCCTCTGACATCCCTATTCCAGTTATACTCAGAAATAAACTGAGAGATCAAGTTAGAGGTTGCTGCCAAGAAAAATAAAAGCACATATTCTAATTTGTGCCATGGCAAAATTATTACCACCATGAATAGAAATTAAATCAATTACAAAGACTAATAAAAAAAATTCAAGGTGAACATAATTTCCTTTCCTAAACTTACATACCATATTTCTATCTGTAAATCCAAATTGCTGAAAAATTAAATAAAAGCAGTCATTGCTATTTATACAAAGATCCATATAATAGAGAAGGCAATGGCAACCCACTCCAGTACTCTTGACTGGAAAATCCCATGGGCGGAGGAGCCTGGTAGGCTGCAGTCCATGGTGTCACCAAGAGTCAGACACTGACTGAGCGACTTCACTTTTACTTTTCACTTTCATGCATTGGAGAAGGAAATGGCAACCCACTCCAGTGTTCTTGCCTGGAGAATCCCAGGGATGGAGGAGACTGTTAGTCTGCTGTCTATGGGTCACACAGAGTCGGACACGACTGAAGCAACTTAGCAGCAGCAGCAGCCATATTATAAATTCAAAGAATTTCTAAGTTATCTTTTTGATACCTCTGGTTTTATAATATACAACAAATTATGGGTTATTCTTTGGAACTCAATTATATTGACTTAATTTTAATTATAAGATATCAGAGTGGATAAAAATATGTCATTATAACAGTGAAATATTATATGCAGCAATTAATATTTTTCTAACTTAAGATGAATTTTCCTTAAGACAAGCACGAACAGCCTCAGACACCTATCGGAATTCATCCTGAAGACACTGAAAGAATCCCATTTACCTGAGACAGCAGAGTCGGCTCCTGCTGACATGTGATTGCGTTCCGGTTGGCTTCCATAAAATACCTCTGTGTGCGCCTCCGTTCCCGTTCCAGCTTCTTCTCCAAGGCCAGCTGGGATGCGGATAAATTGTCTACATACTTCATCATGATATCTGATATCATGGAGCTGACTTCTACAATATCTGGGCGGGTTTCTGCATCTGGAGTGAGGCATCTAAGGAAAGATAAGCTCATCAAAGCACTCTAGTCAAAGTGAGGACCAGGCCACAGGTTAAATTCTGCTCTGTGTCCCCCATGGTGCTTGCACCCAAGAGAACCTGGACAAGATGAACTTCAAGAATATTTCTGAAACCAACACTTTTCAAAAGACATTTGGAAAATCTGGGGAGGAGAGGAAGTGGTACTGTTCACTTTGCAGGCTGGCATATGGGCAAGGGTTCCAGACTGTGTTGGAAGTTGTTTCCAGTCTCAGGATGGATGGGTGGGGTCTGCTTCTTCTATGTAAGTGATTCTCCTCTAAAACCACCCCTACTCACTGGCCAATGAAACAAAGAGGCATCCTAATAAAATAGGACCTGAATACCACACTTGATACACCAAAAGGAAGGAAAGATTCTGGGAGGTGGCAATGTACTGGACTTTACCAGCTGTATAGGAGCAAAATCAACACATCTTGATTAGTGAGAGTCTTACAAAGCATGATACTATAAAAATAAAATGCAACCCAGTTGCATTTTACTTGAAGTTTAAGCTGTATGTCATAATTTTTAACTGTAGACAACTCAACACATTACACGCTAAAAACTTTCTGATTTTGGAGGCAAGAAATATCAAGCAGCCTACTAATGGGAGAGCTGTTTCTATCACAGCTAAACAGTAGTACAGGTTATTCTAGCTGCCTGTGGAACAAATTGTCGAGATCACTGATTAGTATAATTTAAAAATTTCTGGCACTCACCACAATATTTGTCTATTTTTTTAATTCAAAGGCTCTAGCTTTACATAGGGGCTTCCCTGGTGACTCAGACAATAAAGAATCTGCATGCAATTCAGAAGAAAGTGACAGTGAAGTCACTCAGTCATGTCTGACTCTGCGATCCCATGGACTGTAGCCTACCAGGCTCCTCTGTCCATGGGATTTCCCAGGCAAGAGTACTGGAGTGGGTTTTCATTTCCTTCTCCAGGGGATCTTCCCAACCCAGGGATCAAACCCAGGTCTCCTGCATTGCAGGCAGATGCTTTACTGTCTGAGCCACCAGAGACCTGAGTTCAATCCCTGGAGGACGACATGGCAANCATTTCCTTCTCCAGGGGATCTTCCCAACCCAGGGATCAAACCCAGGTCTCCTGCATTGCAGGCAGATGCTTTACTGTCTGAGCCACCAGAGACCTGAGTTCAATCCCTGGAGGACGGCATGGCAACCCACTTCGGTATTCTCACCTGGAGAATCCCATGGACAGAGGAGCCTGGAGAGGCTATAGTCTATGGGGTTACTAACAGGGACATAACTGAGAGACTAACACTTTAACTTTCAATTTTATATGTGTAATGTATATGTTTCCATACTATTCTCTCAATTCATCCCATCCTCTCCTTCCACCACTGTGTCCATAAGTCTGTTTACTATGTCTGTGTCTCCTTTGCTGCCTTGCAAATGGGTTCATTAGTATCATCTCTCTAGATTCCATATGTATGTATTGTTGTTGTTCAGTCATCCAGTCGTATCTGACTCTTTGCGACCACATGGACTGCAGCACACCAGGCCTCCCTGTCCCTCACCATTTCCTGAAGTTTTCCCAAGTGCATGTTCATTGCATTGGCGATGCCATCCAGCCATCTCATCCTCAGATGCCCTCTTCTCCTACTGCCCTCAATTTTTCCCAGCATCTGTTCACATTAGATGACCAAAATACTGGAGCTTCAGCTTCAGCATCAGTCCTTCCCACAGGTATTCGGGACTGATTTCAACTTTGCTGGTATCCTAGGTGTTAGGTTTTTGTTTTTGTTTTTTTCCTTTCAGTACTCCAAATTTATCATACAACTCCTCTGACCTTCAGTGTTTCTGTAGAAAAATCAGTCTGAAAGCCTTATGGGAGTTCCCTGTAACTGACACTTTGTTTTTCTCTTGCTACTTTTAGAATCCTCCCTTTAGTTTTAACTTTTGCCATTTTACTTATTATAGGTTTTGATGGAGGTCTATTTGGGTTCATCTTGTTTGGGGCCCTCTGTTCTTCTTGTACCTGGATATCTGTTTCCTTCTTCAACATCAGGAAAGAAGTTTCCAGGCATAATTATATCAATTACACATTGCACTCTCTTTTCTGTCTCATCTCCTTCTGAGATCCATATTATGTGAATGTTAGCATACGTGATGTTGTCCTAGAGGTCCCTTAAACTATTTTCATTTTTTTTTAATCTATTTTTCTTTTTGCTGTTTTGATTGGGTGATTTCCACTATTCTATCTCCCAAATCACTAATACACTCCTCTGTATCACCTAATCTGCTGTTAATTCCCACTACTATAATTTTAATTTCAGTTACAGAAAGGTCCCTACATACAGACCTCCAAGTAGCGAACTTTCAAAGGTGCTAACTTGAGTTTGCGTATCCAGTCACAGAAGTTAATTCACATGTCTGATGTACATTGTCACCCATGTGCATCCTCTCAAGTGGTCGTGTTTTTGTGTACTTTATTGTATAGTACTTCATTCAGAACAGCAATAGAGTATCTTTATTTCAAGCCCAGGATATCCAGAAGCAAGCATAAAAGCAGCAGTGATGGAGCTGGTACTACAGTACTTTTCAAGGTACTGAACTGTAAGATTTAAAATGCTTTCTTAATTTTGTGTGTATGTTTTTAATGTATTATTTGTCTTAAAAGTATTATAAACCTATTATAGTACAGTATTATATAGCTGATTATGTTAATTGGGTACCTAGGCTAACTTTGTTGGACAAATTGGACTTGTTAAAATGCTCTTGGAACAAAACTCATTTGTATGTAAGAGACTTACTATATTGTATTCTTCAGTTCTGTTTTTTAAAAAATATTTTCTAATGCTTTGTTCAGATTTTTCGCTGTGTTCAACTATTCTTTTAAGTTCAGTTGCCATTCCCATTACAATTGCTTTGAACTGTTTATCAGGTAAATTATTCACCTCTGTTTCACTAAGATTTTCTTTTCAGGGTTTTTCCTTATAATTTCTTTTGAAACATATTCCTCTGCCTTCTCATTTTGTTTAAGTTTCAGTCTATAAAACTGGGTGAAAGAGTTACCTGCTCTGATCTTGAAAGTGTGTCCTTGTACAAACAGATGGAGAAATATACCGTGTTCATGGATTGGAAGAATCAATATTGTCAAAATGGCTATACTACCCAAAGCAATCTATAGATTCAATGCAATCCCTATCAANCCCTGTCCCTCACCATTTCCTGAAGTTTTCCCAAGTTCATGTTCATTGCATTGGTGATGCCATCCAGCCATCTCATCCTCAGATGCCCTCTTCTCCTACTGCCCTCAATTTTTCCCAGCATCTGTTCACATTAGATGACCAAAATACTGGAGCTTCAGCTTCAGCATCAGTCCTTCCCACAGGTATTCGGGACTGATTTCAACTTTGCTGGTATCCTAGGTGTTAGGTTTTTGTTTTTGTTTTTTTCCTTTCAGTACTCTAAATTTATCATACAACTCCTCTGACCTTCAATGTTTCTGTAGAAAAATCAGTCTGAAAGCCTTATGGGAGTTCCCTGTAACTGACACTTTGTTTTTCTCTTGCTACTTTTAGAATCCTCTCTTTAGTTTTAACTTTTGCCATTTTACTTATTATAGGTTTTGATGGAGGTCTATTTGGGTTCATCTTGTTTGGGGCCCTCTGTTATTCTTGTACCCAGATATCTGTTTCCTTCTTCAACATCAGGAAAGAAGTTTCCAGGCATAATTATATCAATTACACATGGCACTCTCTTTTCTGTCTCATCTCCTTCTGAGATCCATATTATGTGAATGTTAGCATACGTGATGTTGTCCTAGAGGTCCCTTAAACTATTTTCATTTTCTTAAAATCTATTTTTCTTTTTGCTGTTTTGATTGGGTGATTTCCACTATTCAATCTCCCAAATCACTAATACACTCCTCTGTATCACCTAATCTGCTGTTAATTCCCACTACTATAATTTTAATTTCAGTTACAGAAAGGTCCCTACATACAGACCTCCAAGTAGCGAACTTTCAAAGGTGCTAACTTGAGTTTGCGTATCCAGTCACAGAAGTTAATTCACATGTCTGATGTACATTGTCACCCATGTGCATCCTCTCAAGTGGTCGTGTTTTTGTGTACTTTATTGTATAGCACTTCATTCAGAACAGCAATAGAGTATCTTTATTTCAAGCCCAGGATATCCAGAAGCAAGCATAAAAGCAGCAGTGGTGGAGCTGGTCCTACAGTACTTTTCAAGGTACTGAACTGTAAGATTTAAAATGCTTTCTTAATTTGTGTGTATGTTTTTAATGTATTATTTGTCTTAAAAGTATTATAAACCTATTATAGTACAGTACTATATAGCTGATTATGTTAATTGGGTACCTAGGCTAACTTTGTTGAACAAATTGGACTTGTTAAAATGCTCTCAGAACAAAACTCATTTGTATGTAAGAGACTTACTATATTGTATTCCTCAGTTCTGTTTTTTAAGCAATATTTTCTAATACTTTGTTCAGATTTTTCACTGTGTTCAACTATTCTTTTAAGTTCAGTTGCCATTCCCATTACAATTGCTTTGAACTTTTTATCAGGTAAATTATTCACCTTTGTTTCACTAAGATTTTCTTTTCAGGGTTTTCCCTTATCATTTCTTTTGAAACATATTCCTCTGCCTTCTCATTTTGTTTAAGTTTCAGTCTATAAAACTGGGTGAAACAGTTACCTACTCTGATCTTGAAAGTGTGTCCTTGTGTGGGAGCATCCCTGTGATGTCTGCATGTTCCCAGCGGCTTTGGTGGGAGAGCTGGATCTGACATCAGCACAGGCCATGTCTTCTCCCCAGGGGACTGGCAGCTGCCACACGGGTAGGAGGGGAGGGGGTGGAGTTGGAAGGCTAGAGCCAGAGCCAGGTGCAAACTGGGGCTTCTTCTCTGCCCAGTGCCATCACCAGACTGTCAAGGATGGGGTCAGGGCACAAGGCCTGCTGCAGGGGCCCTGAGGAAGCTGGGTTT